GTTTAAACCATTAAAAAATGGTTTTATTTTTATTTGCTCTCTGTGTACCATTGGGGAAACCCCCCTTCACTTCCTGTCCCAGAAATGCAACAGGAAGTGAGGGGAATTCCCTTCCAAGGTCTTCCCAGTGGAAGATTTCCCCTCTTCTTCTGGGGAAAACGCTAAGGTTTTAGATTCCCCCTAAGGCCCCTTTCAGATGCCACTTATTTTAGGCCAATGTTAGTTTATGGCAGCATTGGGCAACTCCGGCCCCCCAGCTGTTGTGGAACTACAAACCCCATGAGGCATTGGAAGACTGACAGTTACAAGAATGAGTCCCAGAGGCAGAAGCATGTTGGGATTTGTAGTTAAAGCACAGCTGGAGGGTGGGAGTTGCCCACCCCTGGTCTATGGGCAGCCAGATATAAGTGGACGTGCGTCCGGTTACATCTGATCACCCCAAAATCCATCCAGGTTGGAGACCTGATCATGGCACACGTGTCTGCATACATCTGACCCCCCACAGACCTAACGTGGGTCCGGTAAGTTCAGTTCTTTCTTCCATCACAAGATGAAGGAAATAAAACTGGACGGACACGGATGTCATAACGGTGACATTGGATCCGTACTGCTCCGATCAGCCGGGGACCTGTACACGGATCCTCTACTGATCGGAAATGACAGCGCCCGTCTGAAAGGGGCCTTGTTTTCTGTCTCTGACATTGGTCGCCAGTACAAGTAGATGGGTAATTCTGCCCAAGGGGGACACAGCCAGAAATAAAACCTTTCCAAAATCTGGCCATACATTGTACAATCGCCTTTAAATCTACCCGATCCATTTGGTTTGTATCCAGTCAGGCAGGCCTTTGCAGTACATAGTTGATGGTAGGAGGGAGGTTGCATACATAGAAGACACAAAATCTGGAGCAGCTGTGCATGGCAACCAATCAGCTTCTCTCTTTCATTTTCAAAGTTTAACTGAACAAACTGAAGAGAGAAGCTGATTGGTTGCCATGCACAGCTGCTCCAGATTTTGTCCGCTTCAGTTTTGATAAATTCCCCCCATAGTGTACGGCAAGCTTAAAGGAGAACTATGAGGTGAGTGATTTTCACTCATCCTCATAGTTCGAGCTGACGTGTGACAATGAAACTGTCACAGGTCAGCTCAAAAGATCGGGAAGTCAGCGAACGCATACTGTCGCTCGCTCACTTCTCGATCATCTCCCTGCAGAGAGTGGTGACTGCCGGTCACAGTTCCCTTGTACTATTTTTTTCTCATGTTTATCATTTTACAGATGAAGTTATTCGTAAACGTCTTTTAATTGACGGGGATGGCGCCGGTGATGACAGAAGAATTAATCTGTTGGTGAAAAGTTTTATAAAATGGTGCAATTCTGGATCACAGGAAGATGGGTAAGGATGTAAAGTAGTGTAGTGGAATTCTCATATAAATGGGAACCATTCATTATACAATGCAACATTTAAAGTGACACTAAACTCAGGAATTCAATCTTAAAAATACATTCAAGTACCCGAACTATTAACAAAAATGCCCTTCCTCCTGGAGGGGGGGCTACTATTGTTCCCCATGGTCCTTGTGTGTGTTGTAAGGTAGCCACCGCTCCAGGTTCGCTCCTGTGATGGACTACAAGCTCAATACAAATTAGCTAACTAAACGTGAAATTGTAGTCCATCACAGGAGCGAGCTTGGAGCGGTGACTACTTTACAACACACACAGGGACCATGGGGAACATAAGTAGCCCCCCTCCAGAAGGGTGGTACTAGTAGGGTTTTTTTTTAGTGCAATGTAGTTGGGTATCTTAGTGGTTCTATCTATTGGTGTGTCAAGTCGTTCAGCTATCAGGTTTGATGCTCTCTTGACAATACTGAGAAGGACTTGGTTCTGTTTTGGCTCCATTCACATAGCATTCAGAAATGTGTATATACATTCACTTTCACCTCCCAGCAACACCCCTCCTTCCCAATATGGCAAGCTTAGCTTAATGTTACACTATACTCTACACCAGTGGTTCTCCACCTGTGTAACCTCAGGACCCACATTTGTCCATGGTCATTAAGTCGCGACCCAAATCGCACTGCAATGGACCGCGCAGCATTGCGGTACTGTGCGTTCCGGTGCGGGTGATTGAACTATGAGTGGGAGGTGTGTTTGGGGTCCCATTCAAATGAATATCAATGCAACATACTTCCCACACCAGAACGCGTAGTAGGTGTGATTGCGTGTTACAGTGCATTATTTTGGTCCAGGCACCTCTACAGGACACATGAGGGAGCTGTAAGCAATGCATATATGGGTGGAGCTCCCTTGCCGCCATAGCCCACCTCAAGCTGACACTCGATGCTGGGCAGCATATTCTGAATGGCTGCTTGGCGTGAGAACTGACGGTGCTGCGCTAGGGGAGGCTGAGGAGCCTCTCACCTAGAAAAGGGGAAGGCATGCGGTGACCCACTGAACATGAGGTTGCAACCTACTTTTGGGTCACGACCCACCAGTTGAGAACCAAGGCTCTACACTATTCGGAATACACCAGCCTATTGCTTTTCCAAGAGTCTCTCCCCAAGTCAGGAAAGCATTCCAAACAGGCAGAACACTGAAATAACACGTCCTAAAATGTGCATGCAGGCACTCCAGCAATGGCACAAGTCAAATGTTTTATCACAAGTTCACTTTAATTGAGTTTCTCAAAGGATGGGCGTATACCACTGATGATACATATACTTATTCTGATTAATAAACAGCTGCACTGCGTATTAAAAAAGGGTAACAGCCACAGAAGAGGACCCTTGGCCCACAGTTCTAATATCCATATTCTTTACTTTCTGGTAGCCATCTTTGTGAAATTCATCTACTACAAAAGTATAGTAAAGGGTATGGTGACACACAGACTAAATTCACTTCTATATTCTCAGACAATCCATCCTCACACAGCTACCTCCTCATGTATCACTTGCCCCTCCCTTTTAGATTGTAAGCCCTCAGGGGCAGGGCCATCCTTGCCATCTTGTCTTGATTTGTATTGTGATTGTAATGTCTTCCTGTATTGTAAATCGCTGTGCAAACTGTTGGTGCTATATAAATCCTGTATAATAATATATATATATATATAACATTTCAGTTTCTAGTTCTATATTTATTTTTATTTTTTAACTTTTCACTGAATTTGACAGGTACACCCAGTACCAGCGGATGTTAAGCACCTTGTCCCAGTCTTCATTCTCCATGGGAAAAACTCTCCTCGTGCATGACATGAACCTGCGTGAAATGGAGAACTATGAGAAGATCTACAGTGACATTGGTAAAGACATGTACAAGAATTTATGCTGTTATAAGTCAGTTATGTTATTCATTTTAGCGATGTCCCAGAAGGTGTGTTCTCAGACCTGTGTATGTTGTGTAGGTGTGTTCTCAGACCTGTGTATGTTTTAGCATTGTGTGAAATTTTCCCCAATTTTGGGAAAAACTGATGGCAGATTTGGGCAGCAGAAGTAATCAGGGAAGGTAAGAAAAAGTAGCTTGTAGGGCCTGTTATGCACCAAACGTATTATTTTGCCTGATATGGACAGAGTTTAAAGGAATATGAGGTGAGTGAAAATCATTTATTCTCATAGTTGGAGCCGACGTGTGACAATGAAACTGTCACACGTCGGGTTAGTAGATCGGGAAGTGAGCTTACACATACCGTCGCTCGCTCACTTCTCGATCATCTCCCTGCAGAGAGTCACTCACGGCTCCCCGCAGGGGTTCGCCCCTCACTGCTCCGATCCTCCAGCGCTGACTGGCGGAACGGACGGCGGAGGGGGCGGGTACAGCTGGCTCTGCCTCTAGGTAGGCAGAGCCAGCTGTCATTCACTCATCTGGGCGGATCTCGATAGTAATTTCGGGATCCGTCCCGGCTGTGGCGGTCTCAGTATAACGCGAGCTGTAGCTCGCAATACACCGAGGTTTGGGTCACGGGAGGACATATACTAAGAGAACTATGGGGAAAAACACTTACCCCATACTTCTCAAGTTTGCATTCAAAGATGTCATGTAACCAATTAACAAGTCTAATAGATATTCCACTGCACCCCTTACTGGTATATACTGATATACCCCTTGCAGATGGGTGCTGAAGTGATTGCGGATGGTGCCTCTGAAGTCCAAATAGATATTTGGTGTGACGGTGACATACTAAATCTACTGTATGTAACCAATTAGGTCACCAATAATATATAATAACGTATTTGTTTAATGTAAGGTCTGCTGATGGGAGCCTCACCACTCTCTGACTAAAATATGTGCAATGAAAACAAAAACAAGAAAAATGTAAAAGATAACCTACGCTGTGGCTTCTGGCCGCTTCCTGTAGGTGCTCACGGTCCCAAATATGGGATCAATAACATGCCTTAGCACAGGATTTGGGACATCATTCCCACCTAGGCAAGCCTGCCAAAGGTGAGTATTTTTACACTTTTTTATATTTTGTTATGGTTTCCACTGAGCAATTTTTAAGCAGGGGGTGAAGGACTCCCAGATAAGTATCCAGTTATACAGTTTTATGTTGAATGACCTGCTGATGTTTTTTTCTTCCAGAAAGCAGTATTGCAGCAGCGCATGAGAAAATAGCTGAATGCAAGAAACAGATTTTACAGGCCAAGCGGATCCGAAAGAATCGTCAAGGTATGACATTTGTTTTTATGGTATGCCAAACTTTGTATATCGCAAAGGAAGCATGTTTGGCCAGGTTCTGTGGAGAATAGATGAGATTTTAAAGCGACACTAAACTCAGGAGTTAAATCTTGAAAATGCATTCAAATACCTTACATATTAACAAAAATGTATCTTATTTGCATATCACTCGGCTGTAGAGCCTCAAATCATCTCTGAATTGGTGCTGACACTGTCCTTCCTTCTGGAGGGTGACTACTTTGTTCCCCATGGCCCCTGTGAGTGTTGTAAAGTAGTCACTCCTCCAAGGTCACTTCCATGATGGACTACAATCTCAATACAAATTAGTAAACTAAACCTGAGATTGTACTCCATCACGGGAGCGAGCTTGGAGCGGTGGCTACTTCTATGAACTCTGGAAGGGGACAAATAAATTCTGTGGAGCAATTTAAATTGGATACGTCTATCCCTGGCTGAAACTAGATGCGTAAGCGGGTAGTCCCAGGCATCCTCCGAATCAATGTTCGGAGCATCCAGGAGCCACCTGACTCGAAGAGGGTCCAAGCCATTGTGAATAGTAAAGTGCTAAATGTGCAGCGCTAAAAGGTGATAATAGAAAATTGTATAATCTGCGCTTGTGGGTAGGTACAGTATAAAAGCTGCTGCGCTATGGACCCTAGGGTCAAAATTGATAAAGTGCTAAATGTGCAATCAATCAATCAAAAGTGCTAAATGTGCAAATCAATTTTGACCCTAGGGTCCATAGTGCAGCAGCTTTTATACTGTACCTACCCACAAGCGCAGATTTTACAATTTTCCATTGTGAATAGTAGGTTGGAGGGCTTTGTAAATAGAGGACAAGGACTTGCGTAGGGTCCCATCTCGTAGGAGAGACTCCACCCCAGAAGGAGTCAAAGGAGTAGGACCAAATTGTGTACAGAAAGCGAGACGTAGCTGTAGGAAGAAATGTGCATTGGGAAGTTGAAACATATCCACTTGAATGTATTTTTAAGATTTAACCCCTGAGTTCAGTGTCACTTTAATTTTTTAATGGTTAAAATATACTATGTTTGATAAACTATGGCATTTTTATCTAAATAATAATGGAGATGATCATGGGGGTTTAATTTAAGATAACAAAAGCCTAAAGTAGCAGTAAATCTAAATACACTGTTTTGTATTAAAAAAAAAAAAAACATTTTAAGAGGCTATATGATTATGGATAGAGGCATTTTTTGCAGTTTATGTAATCCGCTTGTATTTGAAATAAATGGCATCGTTCCATAAACTGTATAGTTCCAAAAATAACTTGGTTAAAAAACAAACAAAAACATCTCCATTCCTGACGGGATAAGAGAGCAGAGTAATGACCTCATCAATGTGGCCATGTCCGTTCATTGAACGCACAGATGGCTTGGGACTGGTCGGTGACCAAGCTGTATTTGCTTAACTGCAATAGAGAAAAGCGAGGTCCCTGACTTGGCTGTGCAGTGTGGGGGTGGTGCCTATAGCACAAGATTGAGAGGACATACTTGTAAATCCTTAGACAAATGGAACAGTTCACATTTACCTATTTTAACTGTACTTTAGCTTGTTGTTCAACATTAACAGTCAATTTCATATTCCGATCCTGCGAAGGTTAGGATGGTGATGCACATGTTACCATGTTTATTCAAATTAGGTTTATTTAATAGATTTTCAAATTGTTTAATTTTTTTTTTTTTTTGTCTTTCCAGAGTATGATGCATTAGCCAAAGTGATAGAGAATCACCCAGATCGCCATGAGACATTAAAGTATGTATTCCTTGCACTATTTTGCATAGGGTAGTTTTTTAAACTCATATAGTCGGACGTTATCCTGTCTGCGGCGTGCATTCAAAATTACACATCAAACGCAGGCCAACAAATTCTAATTCACTTCAATGGTGTAGTGTGGATGGTGGCCTTGAGGATGTGTTTGACCTGCTTTTGCTTTGCGTTTCTTTGGACGTAGCAGGTCTGGTTGAGGTGAGTTTACCTCGCAGGCTAGGCAAGTCAAACACTTCAAGCCAATTTCTGTGTTTTGTATTAAAGGCTGAGTTCACCTTTTGCAAAAATTAAAGAAATACATATTTAGTAATGTAAAAAATATGCATTTCTTTTATTTTTCATTCAAGCCTGGAAAGTAGGGATGCACCGATACTGATACTAGTATTGGTATACTGATACTAGTATTGGTATCAATGTCGAGTATTTGGGCGAGTACTCTCCCAAATGCTCTGATGCCTAGCTCGATACTTTCGGTATCTGGAAGCCAGGCGGCCGTCATTACACGGCGCCTGGCTTCCTGATTGGCCAGAAAGCCGGCTCCATGCATGGGGACGGCTTCCCTGTTAATCGGGAAGCCAGGTGGTGAGTCGTTACACGCCGCCTGGCTTCCTTTATGTGACTTTCAGTATCGGCGAGTACCGGAAAAAAAAAATCAGTACTCGATACCGAAAAACCGGTATCGGCGCATCCCTACTGGAAAGCATTGCAATTGTGATCAATCGATCACAGCTGAAAAGCTCAGGCTTCTGCACATTCTCTCCTAGGCAGAGCTCCGTACGGAGGTACAGGGTTTTATTTAGGAGAGATGGGTAAGGACAGCTGGACTTTAAACCGGGTTAAATCACCTCATACAACGTCTAGCCACCCTCCCTCTGGTTAGATGCAGTTGAGCTGTCCATATTCCCGCATTTAACCAGAGCGAGGACGGCTGGACGCTCTATGAGGTGATTTAATGCTGTTTGAAGTCCAGCTGTCCTTCCCCCATCTCTCATGATTGAAACTCCGTACCTCTGTATGGCGCTGTGCCTGAGGCTCGGTTCGGTTCACACCTGCACTTTGCATGAACGCTTGTCCCAGTCATGGAGGTGGACTGCGTGTACTCGTGGCTGCCTTTTGGGGTGCCATTACTTAGTATTGGCAACGCAAATGCGTTTTGCATTTTTTTTGCACGTTTGACATACTCTCCTGCAATGCCTTGGTGGGAACCGAGCCTTAGAGAGAATGTGCAGAAGCCTGAGCTTTGCAGCCGTGATCCAGTGATCTCAATTGCAATGCTTTCCAGGTTTGAATGCAAAAATTAAAGAAATGCAATTTTTTTGATATTAAATATGCACTTCTTTAGTTTTTGCAAAAGTGAACTTATCCTTTAAACGCATGTGTTTTACTGTTGCGTTTGAAGGCAAAAGGCATAGATGAAATTCCGTGCAGGGCTGTGTCATTCGTTATGCAGGTTTTAGACAGGTTGTGAAGTTGGTCTGATTTGTGCTGTGTAATCTTTCAGGCAACTGGAAGCATTGGACAAGGAGCTGAAGCAACTTTCTCACACCAAGGAGAGTGTTGAAGACAAGGTGAGAATAAGCTGCTAGTAAATATCACTGTGTACTTTATCTGGAGAGTGAGCTGTGTTCCTGTTTTCTTATTACTGGGCCACAAAATGGAAAAAAAACTGCCTGGGATATGTAAAGGAGCTAGTAACAGTTACATTCTGCACCTACAATTGTTTTGTATTGTAAATTAAAAACAACATCCACTGATTACACCAGGCCCCTTCCAGCCCCTATTGCAAAACACTGCACTGTAGAGGTGCACCGAAATAGAAAATTTAAAAAACAAAACCGAAATAAAAAAAATTGTCAGGCCGAAACCGAAAATGTTTTTATTTTAATTTTATTTTTTATAAAACAAATAATAATATTTTTATTCATTTATGAAATATTTTTTACTTTACTTTTAGGGGCTTTGGAGAAATATTAGGGGTCTAAACAGACCCCTGAGATTTCCCTTTTAAAATAGAAAAAGAGATTGAGAACACAAGATTGAGTCCTCAATCTCTTTTTCTGCAGCTCCTGTTATCAATGAACAGAAATCCTCTATACTGAGTGTTCCTGTTCATTGAGAACAGAATATGTTTACTATATCCACAATCATGAATGAACAGGAGGTGACGTAGATCACTCCCATTCATTCATAATTGATATAGTACACATACCATGTCCTCAGTTATCTACAAACACTCAGCGATCACTGATCGTTGAGTGTTTGCTCTCACTCTCCTTTCTGACACGCTGTCACAGGAGGCTGAGTGAGCGGTGTGGGAGGAGAGCTCACCCGCCTGTGGCAGCGCAGTCTCCGCCCACCCACTGCTCTGCCGGACTGTGATAGGCGGCTGAGCGGTGTGTGTGGAGAGACACCGGCCGCTCACAAAGTGTTACAAAGTTATATTTATTAATACTGTCAGAAGGCGTTTTTTGCCAGCAGCGACTATTACAGCTGCTGCATTTACACAGCAACTCCAAACTGCAATTTTAAAAGTGGGGAATAGCTAGCAAGTGTGAGGAGAGGAGTGGAAGAGGGGCAGAAGGACAGGACATATTACATGTTTTGGATGTTTGTAGTACACCCAGTGTCCAGAACTGGTTAATAAGCCCGACAGCTTACAATGCAGCCTTATTTAATGTGAAATCATAAGTACATGTAAAGAATTCTATAATGGTGTTTAGAAATGTTATTATTTTTTTTTCTTTGTTCTCTGTAGCTGGAGTTGAGAAGAAAACAGTTCCACGTCCTCCTCAGCACCATTCATGAGCTCCAGCAAACTCTAGAAAGTAAGTTCTTTAATCCAATATTCAGCCTTTAAAAGTGTCAGGAATGTACATAGATGAGCTTTGTTCAAAAGGTAAAGAGTAGGGATGCACCGATAGATACTAGTATCGGTATCTGTACCGATACCGAGTATTTGGGCGAGTACTCGGCTTGCCCAAATGCTCCGATACTTGCCCCCGATACCAGAACTTCCGGTCAGAGGGAGATTTCCTCCGGAAGTGCCGCGATTGGCCGGGCTAACAGCCGACTCCATGCTGATTGGCTGGTAAGCCGGCTTTCTGGCCAATCGGCATGGAGGCGGCTTCCCGAGCCAATCAGGAAGTCAGGCGGCGGGTATTGACGACAGGCCTAGACGAGAAGATCCCGAGGGACATGCCGGAGTGAAGGGGCAGAGAAGTGAGCGGTCATTGCTGCAGGACAGGACCGAGGGACAGGTGAGTATTTCTTCCTGATTGTCACCCCAGAGAGAAATGAACACCCCTGCACTGCAAAGGGTTAACTTTTCAAAATCCCGACTTTTCTTTAAAGTAGTATTAATCACTCCAAATCTTTTAGATTTCATGCATTCTAAGCAACCAGGGAAACATTTCCCAGTGTATAGTTTACTGCTCATTTGTGCACAAACATATGTTTTCCTATTCACTCTGCCACTGCCACAAGTTTGCACAGTGCCGGACTTTTGTTTCATGCTAAAGTTCACAAGGGACAACGCAGGCTCTGGGAAGGGAGGAACATCCTAGGCTTTGGGGCTGTCTCTTTGTGCGGATTTAGGCAATGTGGGGAGATTCTTCTGTAGTCCTGGCCAGAAGCGCACCCCTAAAGGTGGCTCCTTGGGACCCTGCAAGAGTATGTCAGGACATCAGGAACTAGAGAAGAGAACATTTTGACAGATGGAATGCAATCCACAGGCTTGGAATGGAAAACGCACAGCAAACATGGTACGTGCTGAGGTCTACAGCACTATATGCCTTTTACATTTGAAAGTTTAAAAAGCACTTTAGGCCGGTGTAGATCTTCAAGAGAGTGCAGATGAGTGGGACAGGGAAGTATGTTTCTGTGCAGATGAGTGGGACAGGGAAGTATGTTTCTGTGCAGATGAGTGGGACAGGGAAGTATGTTTCTGTGCAGATGAGTGGGACAGGGAAGTATTTTTCTGTGCAGATGAGTGGGACAGGGAAGTATTTTTCTGTGCAGATGAGTGGGACAGGGAAGTATGTTTCTGTGCAGATCAGTGGGACAGGGAAGTATGTTTCTGTGCAGATCAGTGGGACAGGGAAGTATGTTTCTGTGCATATGAGTGGGACAGGGAAGTATGTTTCTGTGCAGATGAGAGGGGCAGGGAAGTATGTTTCTGTGCAGATGAGTGGGACAGGGAAGTATGTTTCTGTGCAGATGAGTGGGACAGGGAAGTATGTTTCTGTGCAGATGAGTGGGACAGGGAAGTATGTTTCTGTGCAGATGAGTGGGACAGGGAAGTATGTTTCTGTGCAGATGAGTGGGACAGGGAAGTATTTTTCTGTGCAGATGAGTGGGACAGGGAAGTATGTTTCTGTGCAGATGAGTGGGACAGGGAAGTATATTTTTCTGTGCAGATCAGTGGGACAGGGAAGTATATTTTTCTGTGCAGATCAGTGGGACAGGTTAGCAAGTCGCTTTAATCGCCCCTATTTAGGTGGGGTTTTGTTTTGGGTGACACACAAGGGGGTGGGGGGGTGGATGAACATTTGATATACTTGTATGATAGATAGATAGAGATATGTATATAGAGAGAGAGAGAATATATTTTTTTTTTCTTATCTCTTCTTACAGATGATGAGAAATTGGCTGAAGAATCTCAAGATGCACAGATGGAAACTCAATAGACAGACATCTTGTTTTGTTAGATTTTCTGTATACTGTTTTAGCATCATGGATTTCAGCTGTCCAAAAGCTCAACTCAGACTGAAAGGTTTTTTTATTTTGGACCTTGCAGGAAGATCTAGAACCTCTGTCAAGTTTTAAAGTGTAAATGTGATAGTTTGATAAATGAGACCATTCCTCTGATCCTCTGCATCTCGCACATCATAGAAGTAAAAGTGTTCTTGAATTGTTCTGTCTCTGGTATAGATTTTTACTGGAAATATTTGATTTGCATTTGAAAATTTTTTAAAAACATAACAATAAAATGGAGTGTACAGTATGAGATTTCTATTTTATTGCTATTCATTTCCTTTTTTAATAAGATCATACTTATTCAGTAAGTCAAAAACCAATCCATAGCAACTGATCAGAATAGCTCTGACTGCTGTAAAATGGTTGCTGCACTTTATACATTATCCTCGTGCTGCTCTTGTAAATACGCCCAGATTATGAGAGATTTCCAATAACCCATTTTGAACCTTTTAATTCTGTTCATATTATGGAGAACGGAACAGGAAGAGCGGGAACACCCACAGGTGAGCAGTAATTTACAATGACACTTTCATGCCTTGTCTCCTTACCCACCTGTAACTGGAGAGTGAAAGGAGAAGCGGCAGACTGCTGAGCTCATCTATATCTGCGTTCACCTTGTTCTTGTGCACAATTAGTTGGCTTCTTGCGCTGCTTCTTCCTCCTCCAGTCTGAGGACTGCTATACAGGGACTGTACGAGGCTGCTACCAAGTCAAATTTGTGTACTTGCACTGCTTGTATTAAATAATACATTTAATAATACAGAGCTTCAGTAATTTGAGTCATTTATATCTGCCTGGCGTTCAGATATCTTAATGGGTACAAAATGTTCTTGCCTCATGAACACTCACTGGCATGCATTAAAGAAAGGAATATACTAGAGAGGAGGAGTCATACACAGTTTATTACACATACCAAACATTAGTAAAGCCTCAGCTTGAAAATACAATTCACAATAACCGTGCCCTACTTTAAAGCGGAACTCTGGGCAGAATGTTAATGAACCCTTGCAGTGGGGCTACCCCTGCACTGCAAGGGTTAAGCGCTTGTTTTTGTCTAGGTGCTAAAAAGAAAAAAAAGGTTCTGTACACTATATAGATGTGAGGATGCACCCTTGTAAGGGTTAAGAAAACTTTTGCCTGGAGTCCTTCTTTAACACACTAAGGTCCCATTCACACCGCTGTGCTGTGGGCTACCCTGACATACTCTTAAGACGTTATTACATGCGTTGGCGCACTGCAGTGTGAACCCCAGTGCACCTGCACTGCAGCAGACTATAACAGGACAGTTAGGGATGAGTGGACTGATGTTGGCGAAGCTGATTTCGCAGTTAACTTAGTATCAAACCCTCCACAATAAAAAATGAAATTCTCTTTAGATCTACTTTTTATGGTACACAATCCCTTCTTTCTATCAAAACTGCTTATAAATTGATTTTTTTTTACATTTTTAGAGCTGTGCCTGCTGCTGTCTCTTGCGCTCCGCATGCATAGAAGAAGCACCTGATGTCGGGACTACATGTCCCATGATCCTTTGCGTGGGTATATACAGCACGGTGCATTTTCAGAAACTTTCTGCACACGGTGTTTGTCTACACTGTGTGGGGGGAATGTATCAAAACTGGAGCAGTTGCCCATGGCAACCAATCAGCATCTCTCTTCAGTTTGCCCAGTTGGGATTTGAAAATGAGAGATAAAAGCTGATTGGTTGCAGTGCCAATCTGCTCCAGTTTTGATAAATTCCCCCCCAGTGTGTCTCATGGGGCTTTAGTCCCGATCAGGACCACACACATGGGCGTGGCTACATTGGTGCTACAGGAAGACATGGTAAAGGTGCCCATACATCCCGCGATCGTACGATAATTGTGCAGTGTATGGAAGGCGTGCGACCGTTTCTACTGTACAGTTGCACATCTTCCGTCGAACCAGCATGCTAGAAAACCCGCCGAGAATCGTACGATTCTCGGCAAGTTAGTGGCCTGCTTGTTCGACAACTGCCAAACAGGCCGGTGTGCGCACGTGCACACTGCCAGTTTGCAGTCATTGTAAGCCTGCCCCTCATTACAGTCATCGGAAGCCCGCCCCCCAGGGGGGCGGGCTTGTGATGATAGCAAGTACGATCTGCCTGTCCAAAAATGTTTTAAAGTACTTTACAACCATGGCAAGACAAAAGTCTTGCGAGGGTTGTAAAGTGTATGGCCACCTTAAGGCAGAGTAGACACCTCGTGGAAGGACGTTCCATATATATCTCCTTCAGTTTCTTCTTGTGGAAGGAACATTGGCCCTGAGAAGGAAGACATGGAGGATTTCTGGCATTATGTAAGTGGGGTTATAGAATACAAATTATGTATGAGTTTAATAATAAATTTAGCCAAAACAGAAACTCTATTGCTCCTTGAGCTTCTTAAGCACCTTTAGAAAAATGTAAAATCTGCGCTTATGGGTTACACTTGGAGAACTAATGGATATTATTACAGCTGCTGCACTATAGACACTATGGTCAAGAATGTAAATAATAATGAATGTGCAGCGCTAGGATCTACAGCTGGTTAAAGGAGCCTAATCTAAGGTAATTAGGGGGGCAATACCAATTACTGTGCATAAATAAATAACCTCTAATCATGTGAATTTGAGTGTAAGTCACTAACTTACAATTGATATATAGTTCTACTGAGTTAGTGACTTACACTCAAATTCACATGTTATATATATTAGCACAAGTTTAATTAAGAGAGGTTATTTACTTATGCACAGTAATTGGTATTGCCCCCTAATTACCTTCGATTTGGCTCTTAAGCACCTTTGCCTGAAAAGCAAAACATATACTTTTTTTCATTTTAGAGAGTATTTATGGTAGCTTAGTTTACTTCATGTAGTATTCTTTGTGTGTTTTTTCCCTCTTTGTGTGTTTTGATTGTTATTTGTGTGCTGTCCCCATTTATTTCCCTGTTTTTTTTCCCCTGTTTTTTTTTCCCTTTCTGTGAAATGATGAGGCTACCAGTGAAATTGGCTTTTTTTTTGGGACAAATAACAGATCCAGTCTAGTTAAAGGAACCTTAGGAGTCAGTTAAAGCCCTCTGCACCCTTTAAACCCCCAAAATCCACCTTAAGTTCACCTTCTCAATTGATTCTGTTAAAATGGCAAATTCTGCCTGAAACTCCCAATTTGTTGATATAATTTAGGGTAATTCAGAACTCCCAACGTCACTAATTTTAAATGGCAATGGTTTTTCTTTACAATACATTCAGATCATAACTGCTTGAGTGACTTGTATTAATGTCTTTATTTAAGGCTTAGGTGCCAAAAGAGCAGAAATGATTCTGAGCCAAGCACACTGTGCTATTATTGGCAAGCTTTGAACATTAGTTCCGTCTGTCAGCTATCACAAGCCGGGTAGATCTTCACCATCAGCTAGGGACAGGATCCTAGTAGCAGCAGCAGATACATGGAAAACAGACGTTCTTAAACTTGTACTTCCTGGTGTTCTTTTTGGAGACTCTCTGGAACTGCTTTGAACACTGAAGGATTTCATCTCCCAGAGACTGACATTGGCGTAATTCCTCGTGTCTCTGCTCTAAGAGCTTGTTGGATTTCTCAGCTATTGTTTCAATAAGGTCGTCCACCTGTAATGTTAAAGGCAATGTGTGATGCTACAAGTCATTCAGCTGGGACAGTATTGAGAGGTTGTAATGGAAATGCATGACTCTACAAGTCATTCAGCTGGGACAGTATTGAGAGGTTAGGGTCCTGCTTTACTATACATTCCAGCAATCTTCCCTGTGAGGCCCATCCCAGCATTCATGCACAAATATGGGTCCTGTTCATAGTATACATGCGCCCCTTAGCACTATTCATTCCAGTACAACTTGTAACTTCAGGGCAATATCCCTTTAAGCCCTGATGAAGTGGATATCTTACAGCCCCTGAAACATATTGGCTTGTTATTGTTGAACTTCTGTCATAAAATAAATACTCTTGGGCTCGTAAAACTTTTGTGTGGCATTCTTATTCTTCCTATACCTTCTAGGATTGCCCTGGTATGGTGGCACCACCCTGGAGACTATTAAATCTGTTGCTGTCACCCAACACCACTGCCTGCGTTGACAGTAAAGCGACCCTGATTTTATATATGGTATAGCTACAACATTTAAGAGATTGTCCTTAATTTTATTTATCCCGGATTGCCATTAAAAACAGTTTTACAAAAATCAACCTTTCCCATCTGTTGTGTGTCCAAGCTATTTGTTACAGGCACTATTATCTGTTCAGCCAGAGAATGTACCTGCATCTGTAAGCCATGCACTGTATACTCCGACTTCTGTTTCACCTTCTCCACAGCCTTCTTCTTCCGTCTCATCAGCGCAAAGTGTCTTTTCTTAGAGGAATATGAGCCCTACACAGTGGAAAAAAGAGGATATACAATTCACTATATACATTCTACCTGTAACCGTTCAAGTGCTGTGCCAGCATAGTTTATTTATTTATTATTGGTATTTATTTAGCGCCGACAATTTACGCGTCGCTGTACATACCGTGTTTCCCCGAAAATAAGACAGTGTCTTATTTTTTTTTTTCCATGAAAAAAGACACTAGGTCTTATTTTCGGGGGATGTCTTACCTGGCTGCAGCTGTTCGCTCTGCCGTCCAGGGAGCCACAAACAGGTGGGCGGGCATGCGTGCGGGTGGGGGGGCGTGTCTGGCAGGGGGGCGTGAGGGAGCTGCCTCTCCGCTTTGAACCATCTCCCAACCACAAGGAGAAACAGACGAGGGGGCGGGCATGCGTGCGGCCGGAGGGGCGTGTCTGGCAGGGGGGCGGGAGGGAGCTGCCTCTCCGCTTTGAACCATCTCCCAACCACAAGGAGAAACAGACGAGGGGGCGGGCATGCGTGCGGCTGGAGGGGCGTGTCTGGCAGGGGGGCGGGAGGGAGCTGCCTCTCCGCTTTGAACCATCTCCCAACCACAAGGAGAAACAGACGAGGGGGCGGGCATGCGTGCGGCCGGAGGGGCGTGTCTGGTACGGGAGGGAGCTGCCTCTCCGCTCTGATGTCATCCAGAGAGCAGGTTTTATATTACAGAAATCCCAGAAGATAGCGCTAGGTCTTATTTTCGGGGTAGGTCTTACTTTCGGGGAAACACGGTAGTGCACATTCACATCAGTCCCTGTCCTAAAGGAGCCTGCAATCTAAGGCCCCTATCTCACATGCATACAGGGCTGATTTTTGGACAGGAGCCTATTAAGCTTGCAGCATGTCTTTGGAGTGTGGGAGGAAACCCAGGCAATCATGGGGAGAACATGCACACTCCTTGCAGATAGTGACCTGCCAGGAGTGGAACCAGGGATCCCCAGTAGGGCAAGGCAGAAGTGCACCTGTGTTTTGGCCACTGTAGGCAACGCAACAGGTTCCATATTATTCAACTGCCCCCAGTAAGTCCTACATATGGTGGTTTTCTGTCCAAACTGACATGGGACTACGCACCTTCCTCTCCACCACATAGTAGTGCTCTGTCGATTGGCCACACAAACACCACATTGTGAGTGGCAAGGGAGTTGCCACGTATTTCCCCATACATGGAATTACTGGGTAATTTCTCGGGTAGCAGAGGAGGCTGGATAAGATAAGTACAGGATGCTTATTATACCTGCTCGAAATTATACATCTGCATACCTCGCTACTTTCAGACTTGGAAGGGAGGGACAACATTTAGAACACATTATGTAGGCACAGAATACACCCTGCCACATCTCCAATTACACAGACTTTCAAGAATTAATACGCAAAAAATGATTGCTTGACCCCACAAGTGTTTTTTTCCACCACTCACAGCCTTTATATTATCTTCTCAAAATGGCAAATGTAATAATAACATTTTGGTCAACGCAGTGGCCCACCTCTCCCATCCTCACTACAAGATCTTGGTGAAAAATGAATGCAACTTTGGATGGAAATAAATATTGTGACATTGCATAAGCTTATCGAAACAATGCCATGGCGAATGTGTGTCGTAATCAAAGCTACAGACGGTCCAACAAAATATTAGAGTGTGACTTTTTTTTCTATGTATATAAAACAGCAGTTCCATTTGTGACCAAAAGATGGCACTGCATATCAACTCATGTTACAATGTTACAATATATAGATTTTCTGTGTGATAAAGACAAATCCACAAAATATTAAGAAATAATGTTACTGATAATACACTACATTGCATTTAGGAAGTCGACACTTATTCGTATTTTTGGTGAGTAAACAGACAATTCCTATTTAAGCATGAGGTTTATTTCTTACCCCCTAGCGGCACATTAATTATGAGCTTTCTCATTTAAACAGATGTTTAATACATACACGGCAATGCTAGGTAATAAAAGTGCTGAATAACTAGTAAACATAAAGGTGATTTAGAGATCAGGCTGCTGCTGGGTCACATGACCATTGCCAAGGCATTAGTCTTGTGATCTCTGCCATATGATCTGACACTGATGTTCATGCAGAGCCAGTCAGTCACTGTTTCTGCCTTTTTGCAGAGACCACATGACCAATATTTTGTCTGGATGACTCCATATACACCAAGCAAATCCCAGAACCACATTTTTCTGTGCTCATGTTATATTTTCTGCACTTTCAGTCCCATGTTGCAGCATGAGAGTTAAATATTCATAAAAAAATGCATCTTGGTGAGGAACTGCTGCACTCCTTACCGGACACCCCCCCCCCGGATGTATAAAGGAGGGTGCTGTAGTAACCACGGATGGCACCGTGCATCTACAAATATATGATAAATGTCACATAGGTGTGCTGGTGATGTGTTAAAATGTGGACACCTGGCTATCACACCTGTATGAGGTTAATGAACATCCCACTCCAAATCCATAGACATTATTATGGAGGTACACCCCCCACACACACACACTTCCATTGAACCTCCATCCTCCTGGGAAGGCATTCCACAATATTATGGAGTGTGTCTGTGGGAATTTGTGCCAAATAAGCCTTTGTAAGGTCAGGTACTGATGTTGGATAAGAAGATCTGGCTCTCAGTTAGCTTTCCTATTCTTTCCAAAGGTGTTCAATAGGGTTGAGGTCAGGGCTCTGTGCAGGACAATTCATTTCTACTACACCAAATTCATCAAACCATGTCCTTCTTGAGCTGGCTTTGTTCACAGTCATGCTGGAACACAAAAGAACCTTCCCCAAATTGTTGCCACAAAATTGAACATTTAGGCCTCATTCACACTGGTAAGAGCCGGCCCGCAGAGATCCGTGCAGCGTGCACGGCCATATCGGGCCGCTCCCACGAAGGACAGATGCTGCGTGTGATTACACGCAGCAGCCTGTTCTTCTCTATGGGAGTACGCGGTCATACGCGTCGCTCACCCGAACTGCACATCCGTAAGGGTGCTGGTGTTCGTACTCGCACGCAGACAGGATGGATCCTGTCTGCGTATGTGCAGGGACACCCGCATGGATGTGCAGTTCAGGTGAGCATACGGTGGCGTATGGCCATGTACTCCCTTCCCGGGAGCGGCCTGATATGGCCGTGCACGCCGCACGGATCTGTATGGGCAGCTCTTATCAGTGTGAATGAGGCCTAAGAAATAAAGGGTGCCAAACCAAAAGGGGAATAAGGACAAAAGTCCTTTACTAAATGTGTTCCTCTGGACCCACAAGACTGGAAGCGTATCATTGTCTAAAATGTATTTGTGTCAGGAAGCAGGGGGTGTTACCTCTGCTCGGTAACACCCCCTCAGCCTTATGTCAGACGTACCAGCGAATTAGTAGCGTGGTAAGGAACCCACTGGCAGGAAGCGGCCGATAAGTCCAGAAACGAAGTACAATTCAGGGGCAATCCAAGAGAGTAGTCAAAGTCCAGTCCGGGTTGAGGCAGGCAGCGATAGTTCAGAGGCGATAGACAGTCAAAGGGTTCAGTAATCAGGAAGTACAACGAAAGGGGCAACAAGTAACAACAGGATCAACAGGGAGGCTAGGTGTTCAACATAAGGTGGAATAAGCCAGAGCTCAGGCCAGGTTTTTATAGCCAGGGGAGGTAAGACCACCCCCCGGTCACCGAGGCAACCAGCAGGCCTCCCTCCCCGGGAACCAATGGCAGGCGAGAGAGATGGAAGGTGTGTGCTGGGAACCTCCTCCAGCAAGGCCCACACCTGATGGCCCTATCGGCGCAGGGGCGCTACGCGCGCTTCCGGGGATGCGCGCAGCCTGCGTACTGCGCATGCGCACCTGCCGCGCATGCAAACCCGCAGCCCGGGCACCAGGAGTTCTACCAGGCTGGGGGGGAACCCATGCCATGCGCCATGCCGGTGGTGCCCGAGCAGAGGTAACACCCCCTGCTTCCTGACAATTTGCATGTTGTAGTATTTACAGTAGCCTTAAACACTTTGACTATTTTGGATGGGGTGTCCACATATTTTTGGCCATACAGTATATCTAATTTACATGCTGCCTTTATACCAGCCTCCAAATGTGGCCTTGAAATAAAGAGTCCGTCTCCATACAGACAGAAAATATATTTTAAATTGCACATTTCACACCTAAGTACATAATAATTTGCTATCATTAAAGCCTTCTGCCTGAAACGGGTGAGCATTTTTAAATGTAATATTAATAAATCTGCTTCTGTTATAGAGGCTTTCCCCCGGTAGTAATGATGTATGTTCTGTCTGTTTGGAGATGCTCAATCACCTTTGGAAGTGTGAAGTTGTACATCGAGAAGTGGCTGAGCTGTCACTGATTAACACTGCATTTATAAAGCGCCCTACGGTGACATTGGATCTGTACCTTCTGCAGGCCGGTGGGAAGTGAAGTGACAGACACGCGTCTTGTCATTCTCTTGGACCGCACGATGAGGTTGTCCGCCATGAGTCGCTCCGTCTCTGCCTCTACAACATTAACATCCAGTTGGAGAATTGCTTCCAAAGAAAAACAGTCACACTGAGTAAAAAGCAGTAATTACATTGCAGAGGTGTAACTAAAAGCTAGAGGGCCTCAATGGGAGATTTAGAATGGGACTTTCTCATGAAAAAACACTTGGACGGTTCTTTTAATCTGTGGGGTGCTAGTATGTCATGCAGTAATAATAAATGTCATACGAGATGTAAGTTCTCATGCACACCGCAGGCCGGACTCTCAACCAAAAGTCAAAAAAGTCTGTTTCTATGGAAATAGGTTGCTCAGAAAGTAGCACATTTTCACATACGGTATATATTTAAAGTTCAACTAATGGCTCCTGTATAACAGTGTAAACAAGTATTAAATCTAGTTACTATGTAACACACAGGCCTCATGAACAAGAGTCTTGCTTCCCCAACAGAGAAAATTCCTACTTTTGTTTCTTCCACTCTCCCTCCCAAACACTGCAGCTCACAGTGGGAGGGTTTCAGCAACAGACACAGTGCTGTCAATCCAGAAAGCAGTGGGGAGGACTAGGTGTGTAAAGGGGCATATTGGCAAAGCTACAGGCAATGCTGATAGCTATTCAGCATTGAATTGCTATTATTTTTTAGTAGTAGTAGTTGTTATAATAGCAGGTAGACATGTGTATTCGGATTCGGACGAACCTGCAAATCAACAAATTTGAACGAATCTGAAATAATGATTTTATTATATGCCCGAATATACGAAAACTAGATTTGGGCATACATAAATTCGTTTTTAGAACGTGCAGCGGCCATATTGACCGCCGGCGTGTTCTGCGCATCCGTGCCGCCATCTTGGAGTATATCTTGGTATACACTAGGGATGCACCGATACCGATACTAGTATTTGTACCGATACTAGTACTCGTACTCACCCAAATGCTCTGATGCCTAGCCCGATACTCGAGCTTCCGGTAATAGGAAGTCGTGAGGGTCAGCATAATAGCCAGGCAGCTCACAATGGCAGCTACTATATTTCTCTAAGGAAAGATGTACCCTGTCAAATCATTTGGACCACTTGTGTAATCAAACAAAGAGCTCTACACCCAACATCTATGGAACAATGTACCTCTTGTCCCACACTCATCACATTGTCTGACAAAGAAAAACTGCGGTCGTGAACCGTTCATTTGTTTTCCTGGAACTCTTAGGACATTAAGTCCAGCACATCTCACCCACAATAAGAATCTCACAGCTGTGTTGAGGTCATCGGTCGACACTTCATTTTCACACTTTACAGAAGACAGAAATGCCTACAAAGACCTTACAGATTCCAATTCCGGTATTAACAAACAACTGACCATCTTACCAGCCTGTGATATCCTCCTTCCTGACCTCTTGGCTGTCTCCCGTGTCAGTGGCAGATGCTGGATTATTTTAGGAAGGCGATGCTGTTTCGGGGATGTCATGAGTGAATTCTGGGAAGACGAGGGATTGCTGAGTTTCATAGATTGGGATTCCTTCACTTTTGAGTGGATGATTTTGCCCAAGAAGAACTTTACTTTGTGGCCGAGACCCCTTTTCTTCTGTTCTGACGTTGTGAAAGATTCAGAGTCACTATCACTGCTTTGCTCTTCCTTTGGGACCAGGACTTGTTGGTTCATTAGATTCTCAGAGACAGTTCCATGCCACCTTAATACAAAGAAAAGATGGGCCAGAGACATTATTAATATGTAATATGATACCGAGACCTGAGATCCTTTTCTCCAGCTTCAATCTGAGATGATAAAATCTAAAATTCAAATGATGTTACTTTGTTCTAGTTTCTTCGTTTGGTCATGGTTCTAATATATGATGGCGCTTCTTAAAGGAGAACTATGAGGTGAGTGCTTTTCACTCACCTCATAGTTCTAGCCGACCTGTGAAAATGAGACTGTCACATGTCGGCTAAGTAGATAGAGAAGTGAGCGAACACATACCGGCGTTCGCTCACCTCTCGATCCTGTCACAGCTCTCTGCTGTGACAGGGGAGGGGCAGGATTCCCCCCTCCCCGCTCCGATCCGCCATCGCTGACTGGCGGAACGGACGGGGGAGGGTGCGGGTACAGTTGGCTCTGCCTTTAGATAGGCAGAGCCAGCTGTCACTCACGCAGCTGGGCGGATCCAGACATAATTGTCGGGATCCGCTTCAGCTGCGGCGTCTCAGTATACTGAGCTTAGGGTGACGGGAGGACGCTAGTTTGTGTCCTCCCGTTACCCTAAGGAGAACTATGGGGAAAAGCCTTAACACCATAGTTCTCCTTTAACCGCTTGCTGTCCGGAGCAATTTCTTACAATTTGTACACACATGATAAAATCAGAATTTTTGGCTAGAAAACAGCTTCAACCCCCCCAAATAATGATATATTTTCTGAAAGCAGGGGCCCTGTAGAATAAAAACATGCTAGTTGCAATGCTTTATGATGCACAGTATTTGCACAAATGTTTATTAAACCAGTATTTTTAGAATAAAATACACTAAAATGGAATTTATTGCACAGCAACAGAATATAAGACCCATTTTTGGGGGGAAATATAAAAGACGGGGTCACGTCGGTTAAATAGATACCAAACATGTCAAGCCTTAAAATTGCGTTCGGCCATGAAGCTGCAAAAAACGTAAACGCTCCAAATTTCCCATAGGCGACGCTTTAAAAGCTTGTGCCACTCATCAGTTTAGTGCCAACAGTGATTAATAGTTCTAGAAATATTGCACTCACTCGGACGTTCACAGCGATATGTAGAACGTAGGTGCACAGACGCGTGTTTGCGTATGCATGTGCGTGCACGTGGGGGGCAGGGGACTTTAAAATATATGTTTTTGCATTTTGTTATTTTCTTATATGTTACTTTATTTTATTTCAAACACTCTTTTTTTTTTTTTACACTTACTTTATTGCTTTCACATAGGGGGCTCCCTATGTAATAGCAGATAGGGTGTAACAGGTCCTCTTTATGGAGATATCAGGGGTCTTTCAGACCACTAATGTCACCTAGGGACCCCAAAGAAGCTGAGGAAGCAGAGATCTGCTTCCCCAGCTTCTTCTCTTGGCTTGACATATACACATCACTTCCGGGTCCAGTGATCGGAGGGGAGATCAGCGGCTGGAAGCCTGCTGATCTCTCCCGATCATTGTGGGGAGACCCAACATCCCG